AATTTTCCACGGCAGTTCTTGGCCCAATGGCCTTCTTTGCCACAGCGCTTGCACACGTCGTCCGGGCCGGCGGCGCGACCCGAACCAGCACCGCTGCATGCGTTGCTGCTGTTGCTGCCGCCACGACCGCGCGGCTTGCCGCGGCGCTTGCCCCGGCCGCCGGAGCTCGAGCCTCCACAGACGGAGTCCTGCTTCTTGTACTTCTCCAGCCACTGCTCCTCCGTGAGCAGCAGCTTGCCACCGGCAGCTTGGGGCGGCGTGGGCTCGACGTCGTCCGCCGCCTTCAGCCTGCCGGTGACCTCCTCGATCGAGAGCTGGGAAATGTGAAGAAGGGTTTCGATGGAGATGACGAGCTGCTTGTACCTCGGGCGGACAATGCGCAGGTATTTCGCCACGACCTTCTCGTCCGGCTCGGGATCGCCGAGGGTTGCCAGCCACTGGACGATGCCGGTCAGTCGGAGCGCGATCGCCTCGTACTCAGCGTGGAGGTTCTGGGCCGTCGCCTTTCGCACGCGGTCGTCGCCGATGCGAAGTGTCTTGATGGCCTCCTAGGCGTCCTTGGCGGTTGCCTTGGTCGCGAGCGCCGGCACCATCTCCGCCGGGACGGTGCTGCAGATCGCGTCGAGCGTGCTGCGGTCATCGTCGAAGTCGACGTCGTCGTACTCGACGGCGTCCCACAGGTGGCACGCCTGCATCTTCAGTTGCATGCGCAATGACCACTCATGGTAGTTGGTCCTTGTGAGCTGCGGCCAATTGCCGGAGCTGCTGCCCTCCCGGATGATGCGCTCGACGACGACTTCCCGCGGACGGTGTGCATCCCGGGTGTGCGATTGACGTGTGTCGCGCGTGCGTGATCGGCGCTGTGGAGAACGGTTCGGCATAGACGTGCGCGGCGGCGTCTTGACACCGGAGCCGCTGCCCTTCTCCTTCTTGGTGCCTGGCGGTGTACGCCCTCGGGGTCGCTGTGGTGAAGCCATGGCGACAGGGAGGTCCCTCGAACCTCGGCTCTGATGCCAAATGTCAGGCCCGAGGTGACGGTGGACGACGCTGGCGAGCTCACGCACACAAGCAAGAAGACGATCAGTACACACACGAACTCAAAGAATGCAGTGAACACAGAACGCCTCCCATCGCGGCGTTTGAGCGGGTCCACCAATTCCTCCTGTAACAAAGCCAACACCACAGCAGTATCGACCGAAGTAGGACGTTGCATTTGAACAGCAGAGCGAATATCATCGCGAGGACCATCAACGAACTTCATGGCATAGAACAGAGGGTCTGTGTTCTTGCCATAAGCCAACAACTGATCAACAAGCTTTGTAAAACGATCGCCATATTCCTGCACCCCAGTAGTTTGCCGGATGTGCAACATTTGCCGCAACAACACCTCATCACTACCGGAAACCCTTAGTTTGCCGAGTGCAAGAATTTTTGCCGAGTGCATTATATCGGACACTCGCTACCACAAAAACACTCGGCAAAATAATTGCACTCAGCAAAATTTGGCACTCGGCAAACGAGAACAAAAACACTCGGCAAAAGATAGGCACTCGGCAAAGTCCACATCCGTTAGTACGTGTGCCGTCTCAAGGAAAAGAAAGAAAAGAAGATAAAAGAAAAAAAGGGGTTTGCTGAGTGTCCCGATCCGACACTCGGCAAACCCGGATTTGCCGAGTGTCAGATCTCGGACACTCGGCAAACACGATCCGCGGCACCAATTCCTCCACCAATCAGAGACCGCTGCTCCATTCTATAAATAAACCGCACCCGCGAGCGTGGGAGGAGCCGCCGGGCCGAGGCCACAACCACAGGCACGAGGCCGTGCGGGGCCACTGGCCGCCGTGAGGCAGGCCGGCCATGGTGAGGCCGCTTGCGCGGGTCACCTGCAATGGGGAGCAGCCGGTGGCCACCACTGGTCGCCGAATCTGTCGGGGAGCGAAAAAAAAATGGAATCGACGATTTGGAAGGTACGAATGATTGCAGTTACCTTAATCCAGTGTTTGTTCCATCTGGAAATCGCAATATCTCGATTCAGTGGAGGCTGATTCCTCATCCTCCCGTCACAGCAACAGTGCCGTCTAATAGCCTTTCCCAGCGGAGAGCAGCGTGGCTTGCAGTGGAGGCAGCGACGCTGGCGCATTGTCTCCGGCAGGTCCTCCTTCAAAAGCAACGCTGGCAACTTCTTCAACAGTACACCGGCAACTTCTCCGGCGTGCTTCCACAACCTGGAGGCGCACCTGCACCTGCTGGACGTCTACCAGGGCCGCGGCCGGGAGTTCAGGCTCTGCGGCAGGGACCCGGCGCTGGCGACCCCACGGCGAGGGCACGGCACTGGTGCCACCAGAAGAATGGGCGGAGGAACGGCGGGTAGTCGTCCATGCGCACGTCGACCGCGAGCAGCACGCGCTTCATGACGGCATCGATGTTCTCGATGTGCTCCTCGTGGAGGTCCAGCAGGCCGAAGGTGCTCCGGGATGCGGCGCGCGGCCGATCGGCGGCTCGGAACTCTGCCTTGCTAGCTCGATGACCTCACCGTGATGTCATGCTCACACCTTATACAGCGATTTCCCTTTAGAAAAATAAATTTAGAAAAACTCTAGAAATACAATTATACCGGCAATGAACCTCTACAGTTCCTCTCTGGATGTTTGTCGAGTGTTTTCTTGCGTGGACACTCAGCAAACACGATATCTTTGCCGAGTGCCCGTGCCGTTAGACACTCGGCAAACGCGCTGTGACTGTCTTCTCGTTGTCACGTTACTTTTTTTTGCCGAGCGTCGGTTTTAGCACTCGGCAAAATCTTTGCCGAGTGCACGATAAAAAAACACTCGGCAAAGAAACTTTTGCTGTCATAGTATACGCCATGTGCTGTCTGCCGAGTGTAACACTCGGCAAATCCTTTGACGAGTGTTTTTTGGGCTTCGCCGTGTGCCTTGGACACACGGCAAAGTTCCTGTTTTCGGTAGTGCATGCTGGTCTTCACCAAAGCGATCTAAGAGCAAGCGGCAAAACTCCCCCCAACTTCCTGATCGAAAACTGGGATCTAGTGACTGCAACCAACAAGCTGCCGCCCCCGACACCTGCATCGTAGCTACTCTAATCCACGGACTAGGCTCCACAAAATACATCTCAAAGTAGTCCTCACAACGGGAAATCCACAGCTTAGGGTTCTCCCCATCAAACCTGGGAAAATTAAACTTAGGTAGCTTGCTATTAGAGTGGCGGTAACCCCCATGATCATAGTCCCCCGTGACCGTGATGACCACACTGTGGCTGCTCCCGAACTGGACCATCCCCAATTTGAAACATACGTCCTCCCTGCTCTAGAACGGACCAGACAGCGAATGGTGCATGCCCGGGAACGGACGCGGCAGCGGAACAGGTATCGGACCAGTGTGGAAGGTAGCAGCAGAGATCGGAATCGTACCCTTGACCGGAGACTGAACCGGAGGTTCAAGTCTCCGGTGACGAAGTTCGACGCGGGGCCCAAAACAAGCCGGTTTCCCGGCGGATGAGGATGCGATGGCCACGCCAGGTTGATGCAGGATGCCCGCCGGCGGCGATGGACCCGCGTCGAGTGCGGCGCGGCTCACCGTCTTGCGGAACGCCGTCATCTCTTCACGCATCTTATCCACGGCCTCGTCAGAGTTGCGAATAGCGCCCATCTCGAGACGCAGCTCCTTCACTGACGCGTCGATCGTCGGCTTCCAGGTGTCGAACACCTGGGCTGCATCCTCCAGCTTGGCGAATCGCTCGGAGATGAAACTCTCGACCGACCCGATCCGTCGGCCCAGCGAGGTCTCCAACTTGCCCAGCGACGACTCGACGCCTCCGATGTGGCCCTCCAAGGCCGAGCGCATCGCCTTCATCTCGTCGACGGGCAGCTTGGTGTTGGGATCCATGGCTCCAAGCTGGCGTCGTAATCTGGTGCAGTGGTCGTGATCGATTTGGTGCGGCTCTAGGGTAGTTGGCTCGGATCGACTCGCTACGCTCGTCACCGATCAGAACGACCTTGGCACGGACCTACGGAATCACACGCTCGACACCGAAGCGAGGAGCGGCGATCAACCTGCCATCAGGGATTACGTTCCCAGATCAAGGCGAGAGCGAGGAGAAGAAGGCCGAGGAAGGATAGCTCCGGTACCAATTTGTTAGCAGCACAAGAGAGAGGAAGGGAGGAATCGGAGATCGGGCAGGGAAGAAGAGCAGGAGGAGTCCAGACGAGTTCTTCGTTACAGGGAAGGGGATAACTTGTCTTACAAGATGATTCATGCCCTCCAACCAGGCAGGGACTTGGGCTATATAGCTAAAACACACTCACGCCTACTTGCATAACTGGGCCTTTACCCATTGACCCACTCAGGCCCAAAGACACGACGATTCTTGGCCTCGGCCCGCCTTGGTCTTCCAGCATCTTCCTGTTGTTCATCCGGCACGGGTTCAGCCCCAGGCGATGGAGAGGGCGTCTGACTTGCGAATACAGAAAGTGATTCTGGAGACGGATGCCTCCATGATCGCCCAGGCAGTTTATTCCTCGTTGTTTGATCGATGTTCTGCAGGAGGTCTCATATGGCAAATGAAGGATCTGTTGGCTAGCAATTTTACATCGCATTCTGTAATTTATAATCCCCGCTCTTGTAACTTGGTTGCTCATAATTTAGCTGCCCTAGGGGCGAGTCTAAGTCCGGGTGTTGATCCGATTCAGGACAACATTCCAAATTGCCTTCGTGTACTGGTTGCCAAAGATTTGGCGTCAGTTTATGAGTAATGGAGATCCCTTCCATGTTCAAAAAAAAAAAGGAAGAACGTAGGAACGTGGGCGCCAGAGACTGCCTGAGCAAGGACAGTCAACAGAGCTGCTTGCATATTGCCATATTCACCCATCTTGCACTCGATGTACTATAGCCACTAGGGTAGTTGTGCAATGCAATCCTTGTGATTGTGGTATATTGTCCTCCGTTTCCACTCGATCAGGTCGATCCAGCGATCCACCTTTCGAGATGGAGCGTCCTTCTCTTTCCGTGGCGATATTCCTTGTCGTCCTCATGCTTGCTCTTGCTCTGCTGCCCAGCAACAACATCGACCAGGCACAGGCTGCAGCTGCAAAAGCAAAACGCAGCGGCGCGGCGGAGCGTATCCTCCTACCCCTGGTGGGCCGCGACGGCGACAAGATCACCCTGGCCCTGCAGCCCCACGACCTCTCACCGAGCGTCAACATCCACAGCAAGGAGGAGGCACAGGCTGGTGAGAGCGGCGACGCCCGTCTCACCGAGCAGCACCTCCGGTACATCGAGCACTGGGACACCATCTCCTTTGAGATCATCCGCGCGCACAAGACGGGCGAGTGGAACGGGCCGTTCACGGAGCTGCTCAGGAAGAACGCCAACATCCACAGCAAGGAGGAGGCGCTCGCCGTGGTCAATGTGGTTGCCAATCCCACCTTGGCTCAGATTCTCTTGGCGCACGCTCGCAGTGCCTGACCAGCTGAGCCTGACTGACGACCTAGCAATTGATGATGGAGATTAAGAACAAAGAAGTCAGATTGAGAAGACAATGAAATAAGTGAACTAGCCCAAGTATTGTGACTGGGCCTGCATTGGTCAAACAAAGCAACTAAAGGCTTGGTCAAATGCCGGGTCAAAACATAAACCGGTAGTGATAGAAGTGCATCACTGCCGGTTACAAGTTAACCCGAGAGTGATACCGGGGCATCACTACTAGTTACAGACTAACCCGACAGTGATCTAAACTCATCACTGCTGGTTTCATAACTAACCCGGCAGTGATACTGGAACAACACTGCCAGTTTAAGATGGGAACTGATAGTGATGTCCTTTCCATATATATTGACATTTTTGTTCCCTACCATTCAGGTGTGTCTCCCTAGTGCCAACATTTCATCTCCCTCGCGTTGCCGTCTACATCCGTGTCGACCGCACAAGACCTAAGAGCACCGTCACTGGCTCCGACACTATCCCCAACACCATCTGCCGCAGCACGTCCCTGTCCACCGCGCGCCATCCCCTTCGTCCCCATCAGATGCATCGTCCTGTCCCCATCCCCGTCCCGTGTGCCGTGCCCGTCCCCACAGTCCGCCGTGTGCCGTATTGGCAAAATTGGCTACAGTACACTTAAAGTGACCCCTCTTTGCTAGCGGACACGCAAAATGGAGCAGTTTGTTGATAGACACTGCCGTTGTTATCAAATTTGCTCCTGGACATCCCGGCCAACAAAATATTCATTTCTTGTTTCCGAGGAGAGAGAACAGAGGGAAAATATCCTTTTTCCTCTTTGCCTCTTTATATTTTTCAACCCCAATATGTTGTTCTTCCTTCGTCTCTATGACATCTGAAGACGCTCTAGCTGGCCTACGAACCCTAGGGCATCCCGAAGTGTGCTTGCCACAACGGGGTCTCTCCCTGACAAGATTTCATTGGTAGTCCTAGCGAATCTGCGAGTACTGAGCAGTCCGATTGCTCACATCAGATGGTCTGGCATGCACTACCCCACTCGCACCGGATGGTTGGATGAGTACAAACCTGCCGGGGGTTCACGGATCTGTGATCCATGGGTTCTAGCGCTGAAGAGAATTGTCCGACATAATGCACAATCCAACGCTAGAGGGTTCGGTTATACAAACTCGTCGTGAGCAAAAATCATTTTTGTAGTAGAATTCACCAATCTATGATCGATCTGTATGTTCTAGCGTTTTTAGCTTATCACTGACAGTCTGTCTATGATACCGCCGGTTCATGGCCTCATCAACTCAATTTTTGGAGCCAGCTGAGTTGCAACTTTGGCTATAGGATCTGACTGTAACACCACGCGTCCAAAACTGCTTATATGGACCAGCTCCGCACGTGGAACGGTCCTGCATACGCATAGAACATCTCTTACCAATTGCTTATATGGACCACCTCCGCACGTGGAACGAGCCTGCATACGCGTAGAACATCTCTTACCCTTTCGTCCTCGCTTCGTGTAAAAGGGTTAACCTGGAGGTGCCACATTTAGAACGACAAGGCAAATAAGCTGGCCCTCACCCTCCTAAACTTCCAAGGTGGTACTAAACCCTCCAACTACAACTTTACATATGTGACATGGGCCAGCTTCATAACAACTACAGGCTTCTAACGGGCTGGGGTGTTACATTCACCCCCCCCCCATAAGGGCTGACGCCCTCGGCAGCTCACCACATATATGTGGCAGATGTCCAGGACCACCCCTTGGTACACCCCTCCATAGGCACGTGCAGCAAGGGTTGATGCTTTGATACCATCTGTAACACACTGTGTCTAAAACTGCTTATATAGCCCAGCTCCGCACGTGGAACGGGCCCGCATATGCGTAACACCTCTCTTACACTTTCGTCCTCGCTTCGTCTAAAAGGGTTAACCCGGAGGTGCTACGTCTGGATCGACAAGGCTTATAAGTTGCCCTCACCCTCCTAAAATTCCAAGGTGATACTAAACCCACCAATTACAACTTCACATATGCCACGTGGGCCAACTTCACAACAACTGCAGGCTTCTAACGAGCTTGTCGACTGGTGGCTTCAAGTCTTAATGTGCATTATAAAAAAGATGGTGGGAATAAAAAACTTTGTAATGCAGTGATGACAAATGACAAGACTTGTTGCAACCAAAGTATCAATAAAATAATATTTACATAACAAGCATGGCAAACAAGTGCAATACGAAAATAATAGATCAGCTTCTAATACCTTTACAATGGAAAAACAAGGCTATCATCAGAAATATATATAATAATATCTACGGCCATTTGTCGCCGGGAACCTGGGATAATGAAGGATCAAAAAAATAATGTTACAACTATATAGCAAACAAAATATACTTGCACATGGCCAGCACAATCACGCTGTAGGTTATAGTCGTCCATGTGGGACCAGAAGGCTCCAAGGATCCTTTTGGTGGTATCCTTGGGGAGATGAATATAAGGATGGCTCCTGCATGGTACGCAGGGGGAGGACGACCAAGTATCGTTTGTCGTAGTCGCCGGAGAACTTGAACACTGGATCCTCGGCGGAGTCTGCGTCGTCGTCGCAGCATTTGGTGCAAGGTTTCGCGTGGGAGCAGCAGGAGAGCAGCGAGCATATGATCATGAGTAGCAGGACGGTGGTCCGGAAACAACATGGGAGTGGCGGTAGTGGAAGAAGCTTATGAGCCTTGAAGCATGCCATCCTTAGTAGCTACTCAGCTATCTAGATAAGCTTGCGAATATAGTTCTTTGTGATGCCCTTTAATTAGCTGCCTCCCATGGGTCATGGCAATGGAACGTCGCCCCATTATATGCTGGACCAGTGCGGCACAAAGTACGCGTTTTTCCACGATGCAAGCACGGCAGTCCTTCGGGGAAATTGTTAGGGATTGAACATGCTGCAGATTAGACGTGTACAACGGGAGCATTATTGCTATTTTTCAAAGTTCCACAAAAATCTGTACCGAGTGCGTCGTGCGTAGACCGAGACGAATAACCCTCCTAGTGGACGGGATGTTGAATTATCTTTCAAGTTATAATAGACTAAAAGCTTGTCAGACACCGCTGCTGCCCCTTTTGCTCCTCGCTCGCCACCACGGCTGCCATTGCTGCCGGCTGCTCTCCGGCGAGTCTACCGGTGGCAATACAGAGAAGGGAGCCATCATCTATGTTTTACATCCGTTTGTTATTATAATTTGCTTAGGGTTTCACCGAAATAAATCTACCAACAAAATTAGTTGAGTTTTGATAAGGATCTTATTACATGTGATGACTTCCACTGCTATAGAAATATTTTTTATCAACGTCTTCTTTTTCAATAGAGGCAGCTCTATTAAAATCTGCATCTAAAAATATAGTAAGCTAGACTACCTCTTAAAATTGCATTTTGAGAGGTAGTTCGGCTTGCTACGTATTTCTAGAGGCGGCTGGATTTCCCAGCCACCTTTACGTATCAAATTTTAGAGGCGGTTGGTGAATTTTCTTCACCTCAAAAAATAGTGCAACACAATAAAATTCATAACTTTCTCAAGCAAAGTCGGATGAAGATAAATTTTGTATCAAAGATATATATATCGAAGGGATCTACAACTTTGTAGTTGACGACGTTTTCATTTGAAACCATTTTGATCCTACAAATGCTTTTTGAAGTTCTCACATTTTGAAATTTATTTTTTCAAACAACCTCATATGGAGAAATGGCTACAATCAAAGTTATAGATCTTGACAAGATCTAAGACACTGCAGTTGACAACTTTTAAATTTTAAAAATAATCTATGGTCCAAAATTTAGTTTGCGGTCCTCGCATTTTGAAATTTCAAATTTTTGAACGATCTCGGATGATAAAACGATAAAAACTAAAGTTGTAGATCTCAAAGAGCTATCAACTTTGTAGTTGACGATGATTTCATTTGAAATCATTTATCCAAGGGAATTTCTATTTAAAATTCACATATTTTGAAATTTAAAATTTTTAAATGACATTGGATGCAGAAAGACCAAAATCAAACCTTATCTACATCTTTCATGTTAAAATACTTTTCATTTGGGGTCCAAATTATTCATTCCAAATATAGTAAAGTAAATATAAAAGGATGTATCTACTCCTTAGTTCCAAGTAACTTTTGAGATGGAGTGGCTAGTGGAGGTATGTCTCGACTTATTAGGTGTGGTTGCCTGGTAGGGGTTTCTTGAATTAAAATTAATATTTTTTGTCCCGATTTATGATTTCTAGAAATCAGTTTCTAGAAGAGATTGAACACCTGCCTCTACAAATCGTTGATTTGTGGAGACGGATAAGTCTGGTGGCTTCTACAAGTCTTGGCACTAGTAATATTCGATGATTGCTATAATGAGATCGCTATTGTAAGCGTCGATTTTATCGGCATGAGGCCAATTTGTTGTCATTATTCTCCACGATGGTAGCAACACCACGTCATCGATCTCATCATTGACGGCCGTGGAGAGGAAATCAAGCATATATGAGAATCATGGGTTGGAGGTATCGAATCTGTAGCCGATGTTGTATTTGATGATGGAACATCTGAGGTTCTTTCACCATTTGAGATGCATTGGAGTGGTTGCTTCCAGAAAGATGGATGTTGTCGTGGCGCTTCTATGAAAGTGAACCAATCTAGTCATTGTTCGGCTGGTATTAAAGCCAGTTAAAGCTGTTTTATTGTGAGAAAAAAATACTGTAAATTCTAGTTGATAAGTCGGCTGATAAGTTCAAGCGAACAGGCCATTGGTGTCAACAGCGGGATGCCCAGTATTTTGGATTTGATTATTGGATCTAGCATGAGGACAGGAATTTTGTTTCCATGTTCGACAAGGCTCCGTTCTGCATAGAGAAAAGCAACTAGCGAAGAAGATGACGACGGAAAAATCTAGCTAAAAACAGACTCATGCTTGTCCATAACACCTGACACGTTAGTTACGTTACAGTTGGACATAATAGGCGCACGATCTACAGCACAATGAAATGCCAATCAAATAGCGTGTATACATAAGGTAATGCTGGGTACCGGTATAGGGCGTCCGTCCGTCCGGACGGTGCCAATGGTGGGTCACGATGCAGCCCAACGACCACTCATCCACTCACCCTCGTCCCCAACCGTTCTAAAAAAACAAAAAAAACCCTTCTTATCCGTTCCGCTTCCTCCTCTCCACCACATCGCCTTGTGGCTGCCACTCCGTCCACCCCGTCCCGAACGCGGATGCCACTCTGCCTCGCTGCTACCGCCCCCCCCCCCATTCGGAGCCGCTCTCTCGCCCCCGTCGTGAGCGCTTCTCGCCCCCACCCGTCACGTGCGCTGGTGTTGGTGGTGCTCGCTCCGCCGCGACACTCGCTCGACTGAGCCAAGAGCGGTGCTGGTGGCACTGGTGTGCATGCCGCCGCTGGTGCTAGTACGCTCGCTTGGCCAAGCCAAGCTTGCTGGTGGTGGCGGTGGTGCTCCCACGCTGCCGCTCGGTACAGACTCCGACCCCTGCTGCTAGAATCGACCTGTCCCGTCCTTCGCATCCCCTACGTTGCATATGTATATTTCAATTATTTTAGACATTTCAGATGTATATTGCAATTGTTCTATTTTTATGTTGCAAAAGTAGATTGGGGGATGTTGTATATGTTGCAAGTTTGAGATGCATGTTGCAAACGTTTGTTCAAAATATTTCATCTGTCTATTTATTTTTTACCTTTATGTGAAATGTAAGATCTCTAATTTATTTACGATGATGGTTACAATGCCTCCATAATATAAGTCAATATTGGTAATAATACAACAATGTTTATCAAGCCTATATTGAATTAAAGTACAACCTTTATAGATTTTTCTTCTTGTGCAAAGCACAGAAATATTTAGACGTAAATATATCATGACTTTAATTTTATTCTATATCCATGTGTCGTACAGTTAAATACTCCTAAGTTCCTTTCTTTGAGGACCATAAAAACCCGTAATTCTAATCTTTGATTAAAGTCGGCAAGGAGTTAATTGCTGACGTGTCAAAGAGTAGTTTGTGCACTGCCTGTTTATATGACGTGTGAACGATACACAATGGCTTGTCATGTCCTTTTAATCAGCTATTTAGTCTGTTCAAATGGCAGTTTAGCCTGAATAAATAACTAAACGATAGGTGGCCATTAGTCTATTTAAGCACGTTTCCTCAACTTCAGTCGCCTAAGCTCTTAGGCGAATGAGTTCAGAGCACTATCTGCTGCTTTGCTGCTGAGCTGATGGAAGGAAGCAGAAAGTGGATGACCACTGGCTAGCAAATGTCGCCTGATTTTTTGGAAAAAAGTAAGCGCCTGTGCAATAGCAACTCCCATATTTAATTGTTTAGGCTAACATACATAAATGTGTAGCATGCATCCATTATTATGCCGTGAATCTTTATTAATGGTCCCGTTCGGCTTACCTTATAATCCACACTATTCAGCTTGTTTTTTCAGCCGGAACAATGTTTTTTTCTCACAACAATTCAGCCAGAACAGTGTTTTCAGCTAATTCAGCCAAGTTTCATCAAGCCGAACGGGGCCCATGGATCTTTCTTGTGAGGTTTTTTCTTATAACATGACGTGTTGACGTGAATGTGCTAATGTTAATGTTATTATTATTATGCACGTACACAGTGGCATTTTAAGCATCTGCCCTGCTCGTCAATAGAGACAGCCTGACTTGTGGTGCTCGCATAACTTTAGTCGTCCACGCCACGGTAGTATAGACTGACTTTGACCAGTACACCCATACTTAATTACTGCGATTTATCATTTGCGGTGGAAGATCACCATCTAGAGATAGGCCTCTGGCTAAGTTTCCACACCTATCTTTATTGTGAGATAGACTGGATCTTCATTTGCGGTGGAAGAAATCCGCGCAGCGCTAGGTAAGGCGCCTTTCATGGATGGAAATGGCGACCAAATGGAAGGTGAATGGGAGCCACTAAGAATTTCTTTGCTGAGAAAAGCTTGCCCTATATCCTGATTATAACCCGACACGCCTCTCTTTTAATTGTCAAGGTTACACAAGCCAACTAATTTTTTTATGAAACTACACAAGCCAACTAATTTCTCAAAGCAGCGCAGAGCTAAAGCGACAAAGCACGGATTAAATTACTCGCTAAATAGCCTACTAACAAAAACTCTATTTAGCTTAAAAGGCTTTAGATGGACTAAGCTTGTACTTGACTGTCGGCTCAAGCATGAAAGAGAGATCAGCACAAACATTATTGCAAACAAGTGCAAAACGGTAAGCTATATGCAAATCATTTCAACAATTCTACCGTCCATAAGTCCATTCAGTAAAAACAACAAAGACTGAACTGAGGGAGTTCTACTAAAACAGAGATAAGTTAACAGCCAACACAACCTGAGAAGTACAAGAGCTGACAGTCTGCACCTGTTCTCACCGAGTTGCAAAACCAAAATCCAACCAAACGAATATACTAACGCTTCTTTAGTTTCACCCTAATTTCCAAAAAGTTGCTACAGTACCTGTCACATCGAATGTTTGCGGCTCGTGCATGGAGCATTAAATGTAGACGAAAAGAAAAACTAATTGCACAGTTTAGTGGGAAATTGCGAGACGAACGTTTTGAGCCTAATTAGTCCATGTTTGAATACTATTTGCCAAATAAAAACGAAGGTACTACAATAATCCCAAAATCTAAATTTCGCGAACTAAACCAGGGCTAAAGCTTAAAAGATTAGTTAAATATTAGTTGAACAGTCATAGCACTGCTGCATGAAAGTGACATCACAGGAAATTATTAGTCCGTGCCTTGCTAGTCCCTGTCAATTGGGAGCACTACTGATCCTCTATCTCTGGTAGTGGAAGAGACAAAATATGTTAGCACCTGGGACCGTTCACTGATCTGAAACTTGACTGAAACTGGCTGAAAAACACTGTTTCGGTTGAATTATTGTGAGAAGAAAATACTGTTCTAGCTGAAAAAAGAAGCCGAACAAGTCGAATATGGGATAAGCCGAACAGGGCCACGCGTGCACGTGTTGTTTTTGCTTTATGGAGGGCGAAATTGGCCCCGGCCGTTTGGACCCTGGACGAATCGAAATTTATATAATGAATTAGGCTATTTGGTTTAGAATTTGATATTCCATAATATTCTTAAGATCACAAATAAGTCTATCTCAAATTTATAGCGTGAGAGATGGAAATAGATTCTATAGATCACTGTGCTATAATTTTATTCTCCAACTTATAGCACACTCTTCAACTCACTTCTTTACAGTAGAAATGCAACATATAAGTATGTCCCTTGTATGCTTAGCAATAAATATACAAATATATTTCATATATAACTATATTAGCTTAATTAATCTATGCCTAAATTGTAATTATCAGAATAAATTCGATTTTAAGGATCCAAACGGGCCCTTAACTTAGTTCGGCCCTGTTCGCTTCTCTTATAATCGTACTTTTCATCTTGTTTTTTCAGTCGAAACAGTATTTTTATCTCACAACAAATCAGCCGGAACAATATTTCTGCTTGTTTTTTCAGCGAAGCGAACGGGGCCTTCGTCTTTGTCCTTGGCGTCGTGCTACTTAATTTAATTTCACTGCAGAAACTGTGTATGGCATGCCCTATTTATGGTGAGGAACGTAACTGACGAGGACGAAATGGGTAGTGCTTAAAAAACAACAACGAGAAGAAGAAGATAAGAGGCCATTGTTGTTCTTTGCTTACGGTTAGTTCCATATACGCAAGGCACACATGAAGACGAATGTAGTAGCGGCGAGTAAAACAGTTGTAGCACTTGCTGCTGTAGTCGCGAAGCTGCTGCTGCTGCCATTTGCTGGCGGCGGCGCCGCACTTCCTGCATCTGCAGCAACAGCCACTGGTCTGGGCAGTAACTGCACAAGGAGGTGCGGTAACATCAGCATCCCTTACCCATTCGGCATCGAGCTCGGCTGCTACCACGACACCGGCTTCAACCTCACCTGCAAGTAGCAGCACTCCCACGGTCAGCCACCCAAGCTGTTCCTCGGCGACGGCACCGTGCAGGTGCTGGACATCTCTATTGAACACAGCACGGTGCGCATCTACAGCCCCGGCGTGCAGTTGCAGTATGATGGTATCAGCACCGGCGGGACATGGGGCCTCGGGCTCCCAGAGACCGGACCGTACTTCCTGTCGGAGCCAGCTAGCATGCTCGTGGCGATAGGGTGCAGCATCCAGGTCAGCATCAGAGGGGGACTGAGTGTCAGCCTGGTGAGTTCTTGCACTGCTATCTGCCCCGTTATTTTGTCCGAAGATGGTGGCTGTAGCGGTACGATAGGAAATGGCAGCTGCACTGGCATTGGTTGCTGTCAGGCCAGCATCGTTGTAGGCTACTCTTCCTACAGAATCCAGATTGACCCGGTTTCTTCTGCCTAGGGCTGGAACGTTCACTGCGCCAGATTTACATATCACTGTCGGCATCATTATTGCTGATATACCTTCACTGTCGGTTATGAGCTTAAAAATGGAAAAAATGATTGGGGCTCGGCTAAAACCGGCAGTGAAGGACCACATCACTGCCGGTTTGTGGCTTGAACCGACAGTGTTTTGGCGGTCACTCATCACTGCCGGTTTAATCCAAGAGCCAACAGTGATTGGGCTCTGTCACTGTCGGTTCTAGCCATGAACCGACGGTGATAAGACTACAACGCAAAAAGACTGCAACCGTCCTCTCCTTCCTCTTCTCTTCCATTCCGAGAACAGAGGCGCACGTTTGGACTCTTCCCTCCATTGTTGCGGCTGCTTTTTATCATGAAGCTGGTGCTTGGATTTTGAAGAATGGCTTGATCTTTTTGCTTTAAGGTTAGTAATAAATATCCACTTCTTTGATTTTATTGTTTAATTAGCTTCATTTTGATGACTATATTGCTTGATTATCATTCTAGTTCTTTCTTGATTCTAGAGAGCACTTTTTCAATTGAACATTTGTGCAAGGCTCAAATTGTGGTGAATCCATCGTCCAAACGGTTGGTGTCTATAAACACATTTAAATTTCTAGCTAAGTATTCCATGGTGGTCAAGATCATCATTGTTAGTATGTGATGCTATAATTAGTTCTTAGAAGTAGAGTAGAATAGATGTTCTTCATTATTGCGCAATAATTGTTTTTTACTACGATTTTCAATTTACAGGGCCGGGGCTACCAATTTCAATTTTTCAATAATTAGTGTACAATAATGTTTTCCAAAAATGGTACTTTTGAGCTACAATTGTTGTTCATGAAGCTCGATTTCTTATTAATTCTTTGTAATTACTGTCTCAGTATTTTTTTGTGCAGAGATGGATTGAGAGTGGATGCGTCTGTCCCGAACGGACAAGCGGTACATGCATGGCGTCAGCCAGTTTGTCACCGATGCCAAAGCCCATGTTGAGAATGGGAACCATGTCTTCTGCCCATGCAAAGATTGCAAGAATCATAGGAACTTTTATCAAATTTAGTCTATACGATCGCACTTGATTACTAGGGAGTTCATGCCAAACTATATGATATGGACTACGCATGGTGAGGTTGGTGTGAATGTTCTGCAGAAAAATGATGATGATGTGGGCATGCCTGACGTAGCCATCCACGATGCTGACGAGGAACCCGGTGTCAATACGGAACCTATGGCCACAATTAATAATGTGTTTAGGAATACGCTAGCTGACGACACCGAGGATAACGATGGCATTTCTCAGCTGCTACGTAATGTAGAGACCGGATGTCTTAGTGAAAGATAGCTGAGAAAGCTAGAGAAAATAAGACAAGATGGCTAAACAACATTGTATAGGAATTGTCCAATGAACAAACTGGAAGCCGACATCATGCTGTTAGAGTTCAAATCGACAAACAGATTGAGCGATAAAGGCTTCGATCAGTTGTTAGGTATAATAAGGAAAATGCTCCCAGAAAAAAATGAGTTGCTAGAAAAGACATACTTGGCCAAGCAAATGATCTGCCCCATCGGCCTCGAGGTTGAAAAAATCCACGCATGTTCTAATGATTGCATATTGTACCATGGAGAAAAATACAAAGACTTGGACAAGTGTCCCAAGTGTGAAGCTCCACGGTATAAGGAAGGGCCGTCAAATGAGGGTACTAAGACCAAAGGAGGTCCCATAAAGGTCGTTTGGTATTTCCCTATAGCTCCCCGGGTGCATAGGCTATTTGCATGTGCAAAGTCAGCCAAGCTGTTGAGCTGGCATGACGAAGAGCGTAAGAAAGATACAATGATAAGACACCCCGCCAATGGGCATGACTGGAGGACTATCAATAATACGTTCTATAAGGACATCGGTGGAGAGGTAAGGCACCTTTGATTTGGTTTGAGCACAGATGGGATGAATCCTTTCGACCAGGTTAGAAGCAATCATAGCACCTGGCCAATGACGCTCTGTATATACTACCTTCCACCTTGAGTCTGTATGGAGCGGTCGTACATCCAGATGCCACTACTGATCCAAGGGCGAAGACAACATGGGAATGACATCGATGTGTTTCAGGAACCAGTGATCGATGAACTAGTGGAGATGTTTGAAAAGGGTGTGCCAGATGTTTGGGATGAGTACAAAAAGGATCATGTCACAATCAAGGGAGTACTTATCGCTACAATCACCGACCTGCCAGGTCGAGGTTCATTGTCCGGAGAGAAGACAAAAGGCTATATTGGATGTGTCGAGTGCTTGGATGACACCGATGCGGTAAATCTGCCAAATAACTCAAAGATAGTTTATATGGGACACCGTAGGTTCCTACCTAAGGATCACCCTTACCGTAGGAATAGAAAAGATTTCAACGGTACTATTGAGAAACGTTTAGCTCCAAAATATCGAGACGGGCCTGTGATACTTCTAGAATTCAACAAACTGGAGGTTGTCCTTAGGAAGGGGGACAATGCAGTAGCAGCGCCTGATGGGAGCGTTTAGAAGAAAAAATTGGTTTTTTGGAAACTACCTTACTGGCCATTTCTGAGTGTACGCCACTATCTTGATCCCATGCACATCACTATAACGTGTGCGCTAACACTCTTAACACCTTGATGGGCACCAGGGGGACATCGAAGGATTCACTAGCCACACGCCTGGACATGCAACACTTGGGAATCAGGAAGGAGCTGCATCCTGTGGAGCTAGAGAATGGCCAGTTCGAACTTCCAGTTGAGTCATGGACATTGAAGAAGGTAGAAAAGCGTGCGCTTATTTCTTTCTTCAATGAACTCAAAGTCCCAACGGGCTACTGTGCGAACCCGAAGAGGCTAGTGAACATGAGAGAACTCAAGTTCAACTATGGCCCTATGAAGGCTCATGACTGTCATGTCATTATGACTCAGCTGCTCCCTATTGCCCTGCGTGGAATTCTGCCCCCAAAGGTCCACGCGCCCAATCATAAAGCTTTGCTCGTTCTTCAACATGATCTTAAAAAAGGTCATTGATGTGTCCACGCTAGAGCAGCTGCAGCGGGACATAGCCGAAACTCTCATTAGGCTTGAGATGCATTTCCCGCCGACTTACTTTGATATCTCATTGCATCTGCTCATTCATCTTGTTGACCAAATTAGAGCCCTTGGCCCAATTTACTTGCATCAGATGTTTCCTTTTGAAAGATTGATGAAAGTTTTCAGGAGGTATGTTAGGAACAAATTCAGGCCAGAAGGGGGCATGGTTGAAGGATGGTCAACGGAGGAGGCCATTGAGTTCTGCACATATTATCTGGACGTCAAAAGGGTCGGAGTTCCAGAATCTCGTCACTTGGGAAGACTACGTGGCAAAGGAACGCTTAGGGGAAATCTGTTACAGTAGATGACCCTGTTTCTTTCAGACAGGCATAGTTCGCTATTCTCCAGCAAGCCAAGGGTGTGATGCCATACATTGATGAGCACAGGCAATCGCTGCAAACTTTGTATCCGAGCAGGTCACAGGCTTGGCTGGATAAAAAACATAAGGAGGAATTTGTCAACTGGTTGCGACGTCGCTTGCTTGGAATAAAGTTGGGTAATCAACTGGATGCCATAGCCAAGGGACCTTCGAGTACATATCTTAAGTACCAAGGGTATGAGATCAATGAATTCACATTTTACACAAAAAAGCAAGATGGAAAGAGCACATACCAAAATTGTGGTGTTCATTTTGATGCTCACGACGAAAATGGCAACGTGCAGGCGACATACTATGGTTTCATAGAGGAGATATGGGAGCTACCCTATGGTCCGTTGAAAGCAGCTCTTTTTCGCTGCTAGTGGGTCCGGCTCGAGGAAATCAACACTGACAGCAAAGGGTTCACTACCGTTGATCTCACTAAGACCACATACAGAGACGACCCCTTCGTCCTTGCAAGAGATGTTATGCAAGTCTTCTATGCAAGGGACAACAAGACAAAAAGAAAGCTAAAAGTAGTCCTAGAAGGGAAAAGGAAGATTGTCGGTGTTGATGGAGTGATGGACGAAGAAGACTACAGGGGCTATCAGGAAATGCCTCCATTCAGGGCGAACGTACCCCTACCTATCATTCAGCTTGATCACAATGAGGCCCTCATTGTTGATGCACCTAAAGATAGTTAGATTATTGTTAACTATGTAATCATTATGCTCATAACTGTGAAGGATGTTTGATCCTGATGAAACTCTCATCTCCTCTCTCCTCCTCGTTAATACTCTGCCAACTCAGCAAATATGCCGACGTATCATAGCAATTAATGAGAATGAAAGTTATTTAAAACTACCATTGAGACTGACCTTATTACTATTCAAACACTCGATTCGACACCGAACGTAATATTTCTAAACTTTACTCTCAGAATTTAAACACCAGCTAAATATAAATATAAATATATATGTCTAGACTTCCGATAGAAGGACATTGGGGCGGCCATTCTCTTCCGAGCTACTACTAGTAGTGAGGGATCCACAACTCCTCGGCGCCACTAGTCCCCAACCAGTTTGTTGTCCCTGCTCGCAATACTCGAAGGAGCCTAG